TGGGGATTCAGATCCCCACTAGAATGACCATTCAAAATGTTGCCGACACAATTAAATCACTGCCAATACCGTCGGAAGAAGGGACTGAAATTTTCATCATGTCTCAGAAAAGTTGTGAGATTCAAAACATATGTGAATTCAATGACCTGTTCATGGAATTCGTCTCAGAAGATGAGCTCGATCTTGCCCTAAAACTGTTGTCCAATTTATCATCTTACGGTTTGGTCCCAAATTGTAGAACATTTTCCATCATGATAAGGTGCTATTGCAAGAAAGGAGATTTAGAAAATGCGGCTAGGGTTTTAGGCCAAATGCTGGGAAGGGGTTGTAATCCAAACGATGCAACCATCACAGTTCTCGTGAATGCTTTCTGCAAAAGGGGTAAAATGCAGAAAGCTTTAGAAATGGTCGAGCTCGTGGGAAGGAATGGACGCAAGCCAACCGTTCAGGCATACAATTGTTTGTTGAAAGGGCTATGTTACGTTGGGAGAGTGGAAGAGGCATGCGAAATGGTGACGGAAATGAAGAAGGATAGCTTGATACCTGATATTTACACGTACACGGCTCTTATGGATGGCTTGTGTAAGGTAGGCCGATCAGACGAGGCAATGGAATTGCTCAGTGAAGCTGAGCAAAATGGTGTTAAACCAAGTGTAGTTACTTTCAACACCCTCTTCAATGGCTACTGCAAGGAGGGCAGGCCACTGGATGGGATCCGTGTGTTGAAGAAAATGAAGCAAATGAACTGTACGCCGGATCGCATTAGTTATAGCACTCTGCTGCAGGGGCTGATAAAATGGGGTAAAATCCGAACAGCCTTGAGGACATACAAGGAAATGGTTAGCTCAGGCCACAGCATCGAAGAAAAAATGATGAATACCTTCATGAGAGCGTTATGCAGGAGAACCTGGAAAGAAAAGGACCTATTGGAAGATGCCCATCAAGTGTTTGAGAAAATGAAGAACGAATTGCAAGTTATTGATCGGAGTACATATGGCCTGCTGATCCAAGCACTCTGTTCAGGAAACAGGACTTCTGAGGCTTTGGCAAATTTGCATCATATGATTGGAAAAGGGTACTCTCCAAGGGCGATTACCATCGACGTTATGGTTCAAGCGCTTTGTCACAGCGGAGGCGCCAGTGAAGCATTGTGTGTCTTGGGGCATGGAATCCGTTTCAGCAGAATTTCCTTTGACCTGGTTATCGAGGAGCTAAATGAAGAAGGAATGTGGTTTAGTGCTTGTAACGTATATGGCCTGGCTTTGAAACGAGGTATTAAACCCACGAAGAGGCCTCGGTGACGAAACGTACTCATGAGAAATGCTCCTGCCACGAGCGGGCGTGCAGTTAAGCCCAAATATACATATTAATTTTATGAAAGAAAACTGATGAGCCACAGTAAGCATGTTATTCCAGAATTTAATTTTAACAATTCCTGCCAATGAGTGATTTAGTTTTGGGCTATCAATTCCTGCCAATGAGTGATTTAGTTTTGGGATATCAATCCCTGCCAATGAGTGATTTAGTTTTGGGATATCAATTCCTGCCAATGAGTGATTTAGTTTTGGCATACTTTCAGATACAAGCTAACTGCTTCACATAGTTTCATCCTTTGCTAAATTGGTATCCAAATCTTAGTAGTCAAAAAAGAGTAGAGGGAGACAATGTTTGCAGCCCCATTGGTGAATTGATATTTCACGTGCTCAATCCCCACAACGAGATCAAAGAATCAACAAAACAATTCAAGCCCGGCAAGGTGTATTGACTATACTATCGCCTATGTTTATAAAGAGAGGGACATTAACAACAGCACCAGTTTCAAGAACCACCTGCCAATGAAATTTCGTCTTCAGTTAGAAGGCTGACAATATAATTATTAGAGATTAGAGGTGTGAAATGAGTATGAGCTATAAAGTGTAGCATGCATAAGCAGATAATGATTGTGCTACTCACCCAACTTCCTGCTCGAAAGCTCTCCTCAACCGTATTTCCGGGCACGTAACTGCGAATTTTGGTCCTTACATGTCACAATTTAGTGCAACTTATTTTAGTTTGAATTAGTTATGGAATATATGATATTCGTAATCTTCCAGAATATATTAGTTAGGAAATATATTTTAGATATCGTAATCAGTTGAATTTGAATAGCAGTATATTTTATTTTATTATCAGGATTTAGTTAGTTTATATTTTCTTGGTAGATATTATTTAGTATCTTGTATCCTATTTAAAGGTCGTGAATATCAATGAAGATAGAACATTCGATCCCAATTCTTTTCCTCATTCTTAAATCTGTATTCTTTCGTTGAGTATAATATTTTCATATCTATGCACACTTTTGAGTGGTAGATATTGCGTCAGTTGGTATCAGAGCCAAGTTGGTACGGTTTAATATTATTACTCAACGAGATGAATAGCGGGAGTGCTTCTATGGGTGTAGCTATGGAAAAGCTGGTTGGCAATAACTATAGTTATTGGAAGTTATGCATGGAAGCTTATCTACAAGGGCAAGATTTATGGGATTTAATTGAAGGTGATGACACAGA